GATTGTTCCTTCAAGATAGACACCATCTTGATAAATTTTATACTCGATAATTAATACTTGACTGCAGAAGTCCTGAAGTCAGTTCGCGTGGACCGACAAGATATTTTCTCTTTTTTTTAAAAAAAAAATTTTTTTTCATTTTCCCTCAGCTCTTCAGACAACACTGAAAAAAGCCAAAAAGCTCGCGAGCTGAAACGTATTGATAGACGGAACAAAGATAAAGATGCCAGAGGAAATAAAACGTCGAATAATGACAACACTTCAGCGCCGAATTTCAGACAAAAAAATGATATTTCTTTCGGTTAAAAAAAAAAATCGACTGTAAATGCAGATAATAAAAGATCAATTCGAATATTATCGTACATTCCCTCTGGTTTATATCAACTGACATTCTCGGAACAATATCGTTACAATGTTTTTATATATGAGTTTTAAGTTCTTCCAATGAATACTTGTTTGATGGACTTCCACTGTCGTCTAGACATTTAAATCCCCCGGTATTTGAGAAAATGAAGGAATTTGAATGAGACGAAGCGAGAAAGTGACACAGCACGAATTCCTTAATGAAATAAAATAAATAAAGCTAATGCGATATAAGATGATATATTTCCAAGTATGGCACAAGGGCAGAGTATATGGACAACAAAAGAAGGACACATTTGATGTACCCGCTGTTTCTTTCTGTGGATACTTACTAAGTTTACCCTAGTTTGATATTCAGACCAGCATTTTTATTTTGGTTGTTATCCTCACGACATTTCAGCCGTTGTACCCTCTGGACTTCATCAGGTGTATATCTTCCTACTTGGTAACATTCTTGGAGTTTCGAACCAATCTCTTCACTTAATCCACGGGATTATATTAATCCCTTGGTTTGAATAGCAAAGTATATATAAAGATAATTCTTGATCTAAAAGAATTCCAACAAAAATTACAATTGTTAGCTTCCTACTTCACATTTATTCCAAGTTTTCTCCCGAGGTCTAGAATCTTTTCCTAGAATTCTTTCAGTTTTACTCCATATACGTTTGAATAGGAGCAATCAATATATAACAAATTTTATTCTTGTTTGCAGTAACGTAGTTTGGTCTTCTGGCTTCAATCGGATAATATGTTGGAATTTTGATGCCCCACCAAAATTAAAATGCAGTTTTAAAATTCTACTCTAAGTTGTGCATATAGCATTCAAAATCCCAGGCATTTTCACAGTTCCCAATAGATCATTTTTCCCACCCATTCATGTCTATTTTTTTTATTCTTCTGGGTTAATGTGCTGGATCAGATTATTATTATTATTATTATTATTATTATTATTATTATTATTATTATTATTATTATTTTCTTTGATTTCTGGCGTTTACACATTTCTTTCCGGTCCCGCCCAGGGAACTAAGGTTAGAAATGGCTTCATGACACTTTCCACTGACAAAAAAAAAAAAAAAAATATTACATAGATAAAGCCCTTCGTAAAGTGTGGGCTGTACTTGTCAGAACAATTTTTTGTATCTCCTTCAGGCATGGACTTCCAGGAATCCCTTCAATTAGTCTACTGCCATCTTTTCCAACCAGTCCTAGGGCTCCAACTACAACAGGGATTGTTGATGTTCCCATATGCCACATTTTTGAGATTTCTATTTCAAGGTCCTTGTAATTTGACAACTTTTTGAATATCTTCAAAGATGCATTGCAGTCTGCAGGGACTGCCATATCAATAAGGAGGCACTGGTTTTGTTTGTGGTCTCTAATAACAATATCTGGGCGGTTTGCTTTGATTGTTCTGTCAGTGTGTATTGTGTAGTCCCATAGAATTGTAACAGGTCCTATCTCCGTAACCGGGTCTGGGTGGTGTTCATACCAGATTCTTTCAGTTTCCTTCCCGTAGAAGTTGCATATTTTCCAGTGCAGATATTGGCCCACTCTGTCATGCCGGGTTTTATATTCAGTGGGTGCCAATATCGTGCAACCTGATACAAGATGATCAATCGTTTCTGGATATTTATCGCAGAATCTGCATTTTGGGCTGACACAATATTTTAGTATATGTGCTTGATAATTCCTAGTTAGCAAGCATTGGTCCTGTGCAGCAAGGATAAAAACTTCAGTATTATTAACAATACTTAGAGAAGAGCACGATTTAAGAAAATAAAAAGAAAAGAAATGTTAAGACTGTTTAACAATGTTTAATAATATCTCGACAGTATGTTTTTTGTACGTTATGTTTAAAAATTTTATACAAGTATAAAAATATTAAAAAATTTACAAAAACTTATAAATCTTTGCACAGACATCGCTTGTCTTGAGAAAACAGCTGTACTGGTAATTAAGGCATCAAATCGAATGAAACGCAGCCAGCGTGAATGGCATGTAACTGAAATAATATGAGGTTGATCGTGCTCAGCTGGAAATTTTCCGTGAAACTAATCAAGCAGCGTGATATAAATCTCATGGAACTCTCCTATCATTCTGTCCATTCTCTCGAGACGGAAAGTAGTTTGTATACGTAAATATCCTCATGCGTTTTAAGAACCCATCAGAATCCACCGAACTTGCAAGGCTTAAAGACTTGAAATGGTTTCCATTAAGAGAATTTAGTAGGGATGGAAACAAATGATAACCCATGGTCAGGAGCGTATGGCGTATATAGTAGAATATTATAGTATATTATTATTCGGTCGAGCAGGTTCGGATTTTCATGAGTCTATCACGTCAACCATTAAGGTCTTGAATCAAGGTCCTGCATCAGCGTCGAAAGGTCATTAAGGCGCCAATTTTATAACATAGTCGGTCAATGTGGGTGGGTGATGAGCGACCAACTCGTCTTTAATTATCTGGATAGTGTAATAATACACGAAGGAAACTGTAACACAGAAATCCCAAGGTGTAGAGCCATAGCGAAAGATACCTTCCAAAAATTACTAAAAGTATTGAACTGCTACGAAATATTTCTTGGACACATAACGAGGAAAGGTGGCCTAAAGAAACTAACACTCACATGACATACTGAAAGCAAAAGAACCAAGGGAATACACATGTTTGTTTGTGTGAACAAGTAAATTCAAAAAGGATGGGTGAAGGGTTAATTTATTGATTGCGTTGTTTGTTACGGTTTATCAAGCTTTTGAAGGTTATTTAAAGCCAGAAAATGTTTTTAGATTGTAAGAATTATTGGATTAAAGTGTCCAGAGAAAAGCCCTGGCACTTTCTGCTGGGTCAGCAATACGACATGTGGTCTGACGTTGTCCTGGTAGAAGACGACGCACTTTCGATTGCCCTGTTCTGGACACTTTTTATTGGTTTTTATCTCTGATAGGTCCATTTGGAAACATTACTTGTGTCAATTCAATGCCTAATTTTGAAGCTGGTAATAGATAATGCTTTCTCAATCCCATCAGATACTCATGATCGCCCACGTCCTGAAAGGACACAGCAAATATAAAGATTAAGAAGTACTTGCTCTTTATCGCACACCGGCAAGATTCCTTTGAGAGCTATGTACAAAAGTTTGTGTAGTGAGACAGATGGTATGAAGTGGAAAGGTTATACTGGATTAATTCCTCGGTCTGCTGCTAGGAAAGTTGGTTCACTTTGTCATGCTAGACAATTTTTCTCACTCGAATCTATAACGTATTTATAAGTCTACCATTCCTCTATGTTTTGAATATTTCTGTCACATCTGGTCTGGTGATTCTGCTATGTATTTAGAGATTCTTGATAAAATACAAAAAAGAATCTGCAATGTTATTGATCATAAGCAGACATATCAGCTCCAGTCACTACCTACCATCACAACGTAGTTTTTCCTGTACCTTTCCTATAAATATTTTCATGAACATTTTTCTTTGTAAACATATATTAAAAAGACATTGGGTATAGTTTTTTTTTACATTGTTGTTTTTATCCCCCCTCCCCACACACACAGATAAAAATTGTATACATGGGGGCTAATTATGTCTTCATATAGACTTTGATGCATTATAGAGAATGTAGTAAGAATGGTAAGCAATGTAACCTATAAAGGGTTACTGTATGAGGAATAACCAAAACGGAGGTTGGAAATGAAATGTTAATCTTTATAACATCAACAAAATACACTACTCGCCAGCGGCGTGAAGTAGGTAAACCACTGCTAGTGGTGGACTACTTAGACAGCCCCCAAACTTACAATAGTGTCCAACGTATTTGTGAGGATTAGGACATAACCATTAGTGTTCATAGGTACGGTATATAACAATAAGTAATAAAGTGTTGTTTTGGTGTAAGAAAAACTGTGGTATTTTTGGGTTAGTAATTATGGTTAGCTAAATTTAATTATACAACAGAAGAAGACCAGTATCCACACTTTTTGCCTTGTGCCACATTTTTGTATTTTTATAAAATTCCTCTTTGGTACCTCGACCGCCTGAATTTAAGCGCAGTACTAGATTGGCAGCTAGGTCTCATCATTTTACAGTTGAAGTGTCTAGATTTAAGCGTAGGTTTTATGCTAACAATTTCTTCTCTCGCTCTTCTCGCTTGGGGTACTCTTCTTGCTTTCCATCCAACTTTGATTTTCATAATCTTAAATGCAATGTCAATCGTTATCTTCTTAATTCGTGTTCTTTTTTATTGTTCTCTCTCCTTAAAAATTGTTTTCTCATATTCTCTCACTTTCAGTATCCTCTTACAGCTTCATGGCTTTATTACCTTACTTGGGGTGAAATGATTAAAAAAAATGCAGTAGAACGCCCCAGTTAGAATCAAAGTCACTGTTTTCGTAATGGCTTTGCGATACTACCGAGGTAGACATTACGCCTCTCCGAAGTATAAAATAAGGGTAATGTTATGCTTTTGTATTGAAAATGTATTGCGATTGTCAGTGAAAATATTCATTGTGATAGAATAAAAATATAATGAAAGGCGTCTTTTTTTTTTAGATACAAATTTGAATGCATCGAGTGATCACATATATTTTTTTCATGCTAAATTTCCTTAACTGATAAGATGAGACAACTTTTATCAAGTTACGCTTTTGAAGGTGGAGTTTGAAAAAAAAAAGTAAAAAAAAATGTGCGGTAGAGAGAGAGAGAGAGAGAGAGAGAGAGAGAGAGAGAGAGATATATATATAGAGAGAGAGAGAGAGAAAGAGGGGGGCGGTGGTGGAGGAGAAAAACAAACCAGTAGCCTAAAATGTTGCATTTATTTTTCATAAACCACGGGAAAATAATCAAAAGTGAATTAAACCCATTGAGTGGCAGGGAAAAATAAAAGGTAGCGTTGCCGACTCATGCGTCTGCCTTTGCACAACTCACTAATTATAAATTGAGAGATGTACACTTGAGGACGTGTCTCCATGTGCATAATATGAAATACATTTATATGCAGAGAGAGAGAGAGAGAGAGAGAGAGAGAGAGAAGGAAGTGACAGGCTTTCACAGAGAGAGAGGAAGGGAGAGAGAAGAGAAAGAAATTGACAGAGAGAGAGAGAGAGAGGAAGAGGGGTGGGAGAAGGATAGAGAAAGCGAGAAAGAATGACAGACTTTCATACAGAGAGAGAAAGTGAGAGAGAGAAGAGAAAGACATTGACAGAGAGAGAGAGAGAGAGAGAGAGAGAGAGAGAGAGAGAGAGAGAGAGAGAGAGAAAAAGAAAAAGCGCGAGAAGAGACAGATATTGACAGGGATAGAGGGAGAGAGAGGAGATAGACAAACATGAGATAGAGGAAAAGATACATAGACAGAGTAAGAGTGAGACATAAACATAAACAAGAGACACACACACACAAATATATATATATATATATATATATATATATATATATATATATATATGGCATCTCAAAATGTCAAACTGTAACTACGGTCAGGAGATTTATTAAACTTATTCAATACGTGTTGTTAAATACAACGTGAAACCTCACTCTCTTCTTTTTTTATATATATATATATATATATATATATATATATATATATATATAAATATATATATATATATATATATGGTGATGATTGAAAATAGTGGATTAAAACTTGTTTATTTTATTATTGTTGCCTATGATATTATAATTAATTATTTATAATTTATATCGTTCGAATTCTTAAGTGCGAAAGAAGGAGAATTATAAAATAAAAATTGAAAATTATTTCAAATAAAAAATGAATTTATGTAAACATGTTATTTATCAAGGGGGATAACTCTCTTTTAAAGTAATATCTTATGGAATAAACTTAGCACTCACGACCTTGATATAATAATTGATTATGACTATCAGGAGAAATAAACTACACCCAATTTCAAAATTTAATTACGTTATCCCAACTCAACATCAATAAAGAGTATTTGGAACTAGTATAGAGTAGGTCCTCCATTCACTAGTTTCAGTGCTTGTATTCGATTTTGCCTGGATTGGATCGTCTCATTCATATTTTGCCACTCCTTTAGCAATGTTTCGTTAAGGGTTGCCACTGACGTGATTTTGGTTGCACGCTCTCAAAGTCTTCGGTCAAGGTGCTCCGAAACGTGCTCTATTGGATTCATGTCAGGACATTGGGCTACCCATGGAAATGACTTGATTCCTTGTGATTCCTTCCAGGCCTTTGTTACTTTGCTCGTATAACATAGCCCTCCATTTTCTTGAAAAAAGTCGACATTCTTGTCAATCTGATTAGTTTCAAATAGTGGGAGTAGCCCTTTTTGTAATATTTGACAGTATTTCAGACCATTCGACTGCTCGTCAACAAGAATCAGCTCAAATTTCCCTCCAAACCAGACAGCGCCTCACACCATTACTCCAATCCCTTCATGTTTCACGGTTGCATGCAGACATTTAGTGTTCCAAGTCTCATTCTTATTTCTCCAAACATAAACCTGTCTCGAATTCGAATATTGGTAGAATGTACTTTCATCTGACCAAATTACAGACAGCCAAAATTCATAATCTTTGCTCTTGAATTCTCTCACCCAGTCCATACGCCTGTTCCTGTTAACCTCTGAAATCAAGGGCTTCTTTCTTGCAACTCTTCTTTGATAACCTACCTCTTTCAGAGTCTTTCTTACCGTATATGGCGACATTTCCATGCTGTTTGCGACATCTTTGACGCTTTGACGACGGTTTCTGATGACTTCCCTATTCAGTGCCCTTTTCGTTCACTCAAACACGATGCTTGGTCTTCCTGAACGTTGTTCCACATGACAATGACCTTCTTTAAAATTCTTGACAATATTATTTAAGTGTTTGATGATTAACCTAAAAAAACCTAGAAATTTCTCTGTTTGACTTGCCACTCTGATGCCATCCTATTATTTGCCCACGTTGAAATTCACCAATTCCTTAGTCAACTATTGTTCATAGATGAGAGTATATTTATACTAATACAGTACTGTCTGAAAAAAAAAGAAGAGACGTTATTACACAAGCCAAAATTGCTGTAATTAAGGGTGACTAAAAACATATAGCCCACTGTATGTAAAAATGCTATTTATCATGAGTTCTATGAATATTAAAAGGTGTTACATATATTAATATTCGTAAAATCTATTTTGAAATATATTTTAATCGGTGTCATTGTGTTTAAGCAGATGTTTGACAATCAACTCAATTCTCGTGTTCAGGTTAGCGTTGTTTAACTGTTTTAATATAATGAGCTTCTCCAACAAACACAAGTTACATCTGTCCCCTTTTACATAGTATGGTTCAGCTTTCATGATTATCTCCCAGCTAATGGAAAGGTTCTCATAGTTGTTTTTTAATCGCCAAACATACTTTGAGAGTATTGTGCAGTTTTTGTATTTAATATTGTTCAGTGTCATTTTGTGATAGTAAAAACGCAATTTCCAGCTGTTCTCGGTGAATCCAAAGTAATATTTATCGTCATCGTCTTAATTGCTCCGAGCTCTGTAGATTATGCGTTCAGTCATGCACTGGCCATGTAGTGGGCAGGTTACATTTTTACGGCAGTTGCACTGACTTTTAGTAGGATTACCCCCTTGATGCATAACGTGTTTACATAAATTCATTTTTTTTTTGTATTTAGAATATTTTTTAATTTTAAGTTTTAAATTTTCGTCTTTCGAATTTCGATTTTAAATCACCATCACGAGAATGCGAATTTCATAATGCTCTAACGGTCAATGAGTATTTCGCACCTGAAGATTGCATGTTTACATGAAGCCTCGAGTCGTGCTATTGTGACGTCCCTGAACACAGCCTTAGCTCGCTCCTCGCTGCTTCGTTCGGGTGTCGCCGCTCCAAACGTGACGTCCACCTGTCGCGTCAGTCGTGTTGTCTCGTCCTGTGACGACCAACTGGCTTGGTATCGGTCGCGGCACCCAAATGTGACGTTCTAACCTTTTGGTGATTCGGATGGGAATCTGGTTAGATTCGATATCAGCCTCGTCGTTCCCAATTCGCTTCCAACGCCTGGTTACCAAAGTAACTGCGTTGATCTCCAGTCCGCCTACCCACGTTGTGAATCGATATTAGGCAGACGAAATCAATCAGTCGTTGGGGCCGCAATGCAAGTTGGGTCCAAGCGGGGGTGGTATCGCACAAATACGTATAAAAGAAATAAAATGATAACTCAAAAAGTTCAAGGTATCAAAAGAAAAGGATAACAAACTTTATGTCTAGTTGTTGGATACATAGGACTGCGTCTATCTCCCGACCCGTTCTATGGATTGTGACACGTTGTTTTCCGTTAGGCGAGTTTTAACACTTCAAGTTGTTTGCTCTTTAAGAAATTTTTTTTTGGTGTGTCTTCGGGCGAAAGTCGAAAAAAACTTATTTTGGTGGTCTGGATCTAAGTCGCTCTTCAAAATAATTGTTCTTGGATTGAAGATGAGTCCGGAAATTGCGCGAATCTTGGTCAGCCGATGCGAGGCTTGCTTCAACTGAGCACTGGAGACTGACTCTGGGAACTGTCTCTCCCGAACTCAACTCTGGAACTCTCTGCTGGAACTCTCTGCTGGAACTGATTTTCGCTCGCTGCGACTTCGCTTATATGGACGCCGACAAAAACCGGGGTGGGTTTGTCGGCGCCGGGGTTCCTCGATAATTCTAAATACCTATCCACTTCTTTTATTTTTGGTTAGGAATTTTCCACTTCTTTCCATTTTCTTGGGAGTCTTCTCTTACTCCCACCTTCTCACCATGCTTCAGGGGGGTGTCGGCTGTCCTCCCCACTTCCTCGTGGCGACCTCTCATACCCATCCTCTAAATGGGCGGTGACAGCTTCCTCCTTGCGTCACGTGATCACCACTCGGCCAATGATGTCCAGCCGGTTTTGTTTCAGGGAAAAAAAATTATCTTTTTCTTTTCCTTTTCTTTCTTTTAATCGCAGTTCTCATTTTCTCTGACCGCAAATAGAACAATGCTATCGGTGGTGGTCATAACTCTTGTTCTCACCTGGACTTCGTCAGTCAGATTATCGCTAATTATCAGAATGGGTGGTCTATTTGACACAACACAATCGTCCGTCGCCTCGAAAAAAAACATTTCCATGGTTTCATTCATTCTTTGGTGCACATTTCTGATAGCATAGTTTTATTATCGCAGCTAAAGATGTCTTTTCAAAAAAAACGGTCAGTCGCCACCTCGTGTGCGGCTTTGACACAATTAATTTTCATATCTATCCAAAGCCCTGTAGTTCACCTGTTTTTGTCAATTATCAAAATAACATTTTCAATTGGATTTTTCTTTGGCTAGTCGGTCTGTGGTTTGCTTAATCAGATGTTTTCCCGCATTAGCGGTTTGTTTATGTATCCCCGATAACACAGCTCGTCGCCAGAACACAACGATTCCCTTATCCACTTAGAATTTTTCTGCCATTGTAATGACAGTTTTTGCCATTTGCTACTTATCAAAATATCCTTTATCCATTGTCTCTTAGTCGTGGGTGTCCTACTTATCATCCACGTTTGGGTCTCGCCTCTCTTTTCCTTTCTTTCCTTCCTCTCTTTCCTTTCTTTTCTTTTTGCCTTGGTAAATGGTGCCACATATGGACATTGGATATTATGTATATTCGCTAATATATATTTAATAGTTCTGTTATATAACATTGATCACTTTTTTTTATAACATCTGAAACATAAATATATATTTACGAGCAAGTAATGTAATGGATAATAGTTCGGGATTGTTAATCGGAGAGCTGAGTTCGAATTTCAATTGGGTTCGTTATATTCATTTACGCGAAATTGCTCTTGTGAAAGGCATGAACCCATATCTCCCTAGATATGGGTTAATTCGTAAACATTTTATCACTAAATCATAATTATCTCAAAAAATTCTTGCAATCTAAAAATACTTTCTGGTTTTAAATAACCTGCAATAGGTTGATAAGCTGTAAAAAATGAATGAATGAATGAATCAATGAATCAATCAATCAGTGCTAATGGTCACAAATCATTCTAGCAACTGCCGTATTCAGCTAACTGGTTGATCCTTGTTGTTGTACTTGATTCTGCCACTTAATATCCACCATCGACCAATGAATTTCAAGACAATGTATCCTTTGCCTATTTGTGGAAAATGGGGACTGCTGTTCCCTCCATGTTTTTGTCATTGTGGTTTGTCCCTAGCTGACTAAAGTTCTGTCTAGCTTCCGCCCATTGACCTGTTTTATATCCGCAACCAAATCTGGTGAGTGACAAAGATATAAAGTCTGTCCAGAAAGTATTCAATTACTTAATATTAACGAAAAAAATAGCCTACCTAGGGGAAGACATTTCTTGTGAATCATAAAAGTCTGCAAAATCCACTTTCGAAATTTTAATTTCTTTTTAGGTAGCACGTAATAGTTTGGCTACATTCTTACTGGCTTTAACATAAATTCTTAAAATAAAATATTATAAGTTGTCTATATTGAGTGATATACTTAGATGGATTTTCAGTGTTTCATATATTTTTTTTTATTGGAACTTTTTTTTTCAGTTTCTTATACTGTGTGAAATTCTGACATAAAGTTCTATTGTTTCATCAGCTATTTTAGGACTGTTTTCTTCATTTTAATTGCTAAAGAAAGTAACAAAATAAAAACTAAGCTTTTAAGTAAATTTCAAAGTCAATACTTAGAGATTTATTAATAGACTAGCAGTAGAGCCCGGCGTTGCCCGGGGATGTAACAGTAAGAGATAGATCAAGTATCGACCATCATAAAGACTGGAAAATAAAATTGACAAAGATTTAAGGTTGACGGACACGAATGTCTTAATTAGTTTTTTTTGTTTTTTTTGTTTTACGAATTGGTCAAACCCAAACTCAAACAAAAACATTGTTTTCAATCGTTATGAGTCTACCGATTGAATAGAATTTTATTATAAACAATTGTCTTGTAAATGGAATTTTTAAAGCATTCTGAACGTAAAAATAAAGAAAAAAATGTGCAAGAAAATAAGAAACACTACCTGCCAAAAAAAGTGAAGTTTTGTTAAAATCGGTTGAAAAATGTAGGAAATCCGATCCAATATATAAACGAACACACACACACACACACACACACACACACACACACACACACACACACACACACACACACACACAACCTGGGTTTTATAATAAGTATAACTCGATATGAGTTGTCCCACTTTCATTCTGGCGACAGAATCGTGTTTTTAGATTGTTTTTTTGCAAAAACAATTGTTTTTCCAATTTTGGGCGCTGTCAGAACCACCGCAAGGTAATTTTACATAGTCCTGTGAAGTTTTGTTGAAATCGGTTGAAAAATGTAGGAAATCCGATCCAACACACACACACACACACACACACACACACACACACACACACACACATACACAATCTGCGTTTTATAATAAGTAAGATTTTTTCAACAATATATATGTTTTGTTCCACGACATTTCACCGTCGTTTGAGGTTGCTTCACGATTCTGCACTCAACTAAGATGTTTTTTAGCCTCCCAGGGGATTGAATTTATCATTAATAAAATTTTGTAGGGTTCGAATTAAGTGGTAACCCGGTAGTGCAAGTTCAGTGAGTACGGGGTGTGTCGTTGAATATCCAGAAAAACTGTACCAATTTCTGTCGGGTTCTTGATACTTGGCAATAGCATTGTGAAATACAGTCTTGCTACAACCCAACTAAACTTACGACCACATCGCGTTGGAAGACCGGTTTCCGTACGATCACCGAAGTTAAGGAACGTTGAGCCTGATTAGTACCTAGAATGGTTGCCGTTTGGGAATATTAGGGTCTGTATGAATCGGACAACCAAGTTCTTATTCTGGATGGCTTCGTTATATTCCCTTACGTGCAAAGAACCTTTGACAAAAGTGTGAATTCACCTTTTCCCCTGACAGCTATTGGTTACTTAGTAAGACTTTTAACTATTATTATCAGCCATTCAACCAACCCACCAACTAACTACAATTCAGCTGTACTGAAATTTCACGCTCTGCATACCCCCCTCTTAATGGTACAATATTTGTTCTTTGAATATCAGGAAGTGAACATTTCTTACTCATTTTGTATGTATAACATCTCACTGAAAACATATTCTTTAAAACAACTTCACAGGTTTTAGCTAAAACTCTGTGTTTGATTGTTTCAAACTCGAGGATGATGGGTTATTGCTTATAACTGCAGTTGATTTACATGAACTCAAAGTTGATGATGTAAAATCCTGCAAAAATAAATTTTTGACAGATGGTCTCAAACCTTTGGCCAACAAGAAATACGGGTTGCGGCAGAAACACCTCCCACATTTTAAACTGCCATCTGTGTGGTGCTAGTTAACTTTGACAAGTGACAAAGGCCTCTTCATCTAGCTAATGTCTTAGCCTTTTTTGTCATATATAATCCTGACTTGGACTGGTGCGCAGCATACATTTTCTTTTGAAACCATTTGGAAGTCTGGTGTATCTGCATTTGCAACATTAGAGAGCTTTTCGTGCGCATTTCTAGCTACATCGAAGTGATCTCTATAGAAAATCGATACTGCTATGGTTTGGAAATATCAGGGTTACAGGTTCAGTGATTAAAAGAAAACCACATGGAAGACCTCGACGCGCTCGAACATCCGAGTGATAGAAAACTTTAGAAATCGTCTACAATAATATATAGCGACTAGAAGCCACCATTTGGAGGAAATAAATTCCCCCCCTCCCCCCAAAAAAAATTGTAGCATACCTACGGATAATGAGTATATCGTCATTCATATAAATACAGTAGTATATACTGTATGTTGGTCTGCAGTTAGAGATTCGTCTTCAGCAGTGCTGGTCAAATTCTCTCTCTCTCTACGAGCAGAGAGGATCCCCAGATGAGGCTGTGTCGAAGGGCAGAATCTCGTCTCGGGAAACAGCTACCCGACCCTGTTTTATACGGGGTCTACAGGAAATTTTTGGCCTAGCCTATGGGCTCGGATGCTCCACATTAAATTCGGTCTTGTGCTACATCTGACCGCGTTTGGCGGTTGGTAGATATCTTGTAGCTGGAGACTCATTGTGGAATTCACTTAAATTACTTCTAGCAGTTGACTACTTCTTCTACGCGCCGCTGAAGAATCTTATATGTGTTGCTCTTGTCCTAAGTATTATCGTTCATTACCAACCTTCGTTTGATTATTCTATTCAGTAACATTCCCTAGGTTATAACAAAAGTCAAATGAGTAAAAATTAGTGAAATAATTTTAAAGTTGCCGTTACCTTGGTCATTTTGTAAGGCTTTAAAATGTTGGAGGTATTTCTGCCGTATCCAGTATAAGGAAAAACAAAAATCATCCACCTCAGACCTGTACGCAATATATAAAGACAGATTATTATGGGTGAAATGTTTAGTTAAATGTAAACTAGAAGCGATAAAAACAGAGAGTATATTGCTGAATACAATAAAAATACTTCTTAGACAGCAGACGATACAGGAAAGCCAAAGAATATATCGACTGAAACATTCTGTTAAAACAAAAAATCATAAAGACATCCGCCCGAAAAGCTATTTGGACTTGGTGTTCTTAATCTCGACTTTGGTTTGAAATTTTCCCTTACTTAACGGTTATAGCTTTTGAAAATATCAGCTATTGCAGTGAGACAGTTTGAATTGCATCTGGTGGTAGTGGTATTTGAGATACTAGCATATCCTGAAGACGTGATGTTTTCTAGCAAAAACCTTGTACGAGACGTAAAGAATGCGCAGGCGCTCATGAATACGCCGGCTGCACGGTACACAAATTTACCCCTTGGCGTCTTACCGCCAATTGAGTAACTCCACGGGAGAGTGTCTGTTCAGTTTTATGCCACAACCTTTTTTTTTTAAATGGATAGAGAGTCATATCAAGGCCACGTACCACGTTTTCACTATTTATAATCTCTCTCTCTCTCTCTCCGTCATATATATATATATATATATATATATATATATATATATATATATATATATATATATATATATATATATAAAATTATACCCTCTGTCTGTCTGTTTCTTTTGTTATCGAATACCCTAGGGTTTCGGAGATAGACCCCCATAGCCACATATATTCTGAAACTACATTACCCAGGAAACTTGTATAAGTATATTTCATTTTGATCAAAAGGGGTTAACGGAGAGGGGGCACTCCCATTGACATTTTTTCCTTTCATTTAAATTTGAACAAGGGAATAACTCCTATCGAAAGCATAGAAGGGGAAAGCCAGAAGATGGAGGTCACATCGGCAAGATGAAAATGAGACGTCAAGTTGAGTAAGAAATCACTAATCAGTGGATAGTGGCTTACAATACATATTTGACAATTCACCTGTTATATCAATGTTGAAATCTGTTCATCAAGTCATTCAAGCAAGTATTGCACCAAATACATATCAAAGGAGTCAGATCAAACAGTTTTTGTTCAATTCCACCTACCTGAATTTTTTCCCTTTGATTTAAGTTAAATTTTCCTTGCTCCCCATTAGAATGTCTGATAGTCAACTTCTTGAGAGCAACTCTCTGCGTCTGCTCGGTCTCACGTTGACTGCTGACCTGAGATGGAACAAATACATTGAGTCAATTGCTGATCCACCGCGAGGAAAGTTGGCTCTCTGTGCCGCGCCAGGAAATTTTTCTCCCCGGAATCGATACTTCAAATATACAAATCAACCATTCGCCCTTGCATGGAGTATTGCTGCCATATATGGTCTGGGGCACCTTCTGTTTACCTCGGAGTTCTTGACAGATCCAGAGACGGATATGTAATATAATTGGCCCTGATCTGGCGTCGCGTCTACAGTCACTCTCTCACAGACGCGCCGTCGCCTCTCTCTGTCTTTTCTACAAATACTTTCATGGTAATTGCTCTGACGAGCTGCTTTCACTGGTTCCCAGACTTCATGAATTCAAGCGCCTTACGAGGCTGGCATCCCGCTCCCACCCTTACACTGTAGAAACTTTTAAATGTAGCCGTCTCTTCTACTCCAATAGCTTCATACCTCGCACCTCTCGCCTGTGGAACACCCTTCCCAATTACAGTTTCCCTGAGAGCTATAATATCCAACTATTCAAATGTAATGTCAATCGACATCTCCAGTTACCTTGATTTATCCACTATCCCTCTCCTCATCCTTTCTTCTATTTCTCCTATCTGCTCTCGCTCCAAATCTTCTGCAACCCCCTGCATCCTAGTGGCTTCACGTCTTGCTCGGGGCGTAATGCCTAAAAAAAAAATTTGAACAAAAGGATGACTCCGATCCAAAATATAAAAGAGAAAGGCCAGAAGATTGACGTCACATCGGCAAGATCCTTGAATAATAATGAAAGGCATCATTTTTCTAAATAAAATAAAACAATGATTTAAAATCGATCATCATTTTTTTTACAAAAAAAAAAGTGTGAGACACGTAGCAAAGCGCGGGTAATTCGATTAGTGGCCGGATAAAATTCTTTCTGTAAGTTAAAAATATGAAATTGGAGATGTACTCTTGTCACTTCGGTATTTGTTTTTACTTGGTGAATAACATTTGGAAGCAGCTTTACACGAAAATAGCTCAGGTATTGAAGTTGGCATATTCTCATATTTAAGTCTACTCAAGCGAGGTTTCAATAACAACACCTGTCACGACTCATCAGTAGCAAATGAGTTTTAAATTATTAATGCACAAATCTGAAATAAATAAATGTCAGTCCCTTAGCTTATGATAAGGAGCATGGTGAGGCCAGCGCAACCATGTTTGATGTAATTTACTTGCGTTTCCTGATAACAGAAAATGGTAGATACGTTGTTCACGAATGTTAAAGCCTACTCTTACTCTCTGTGATTTGAGAGTTGTTGAGGGATTACCACAAATGCGAAGTGTCATTCGTATCATTCTAGCAAATGTTTCTACAGCGCCTTATCATCGTTCAGGAGCGGGTGTATTTGCATGATCTCTGCGTCACGGAACACCTGACCAGCTTCCCCCATATGTCTTGTTTCCGCTTCAAAATTGAGTGTCTGTAATGATTTTCCAGTCCTCCACAGTGATGTTATCGGGCGATTTCCTTTCTCTCTCCGCTTCTTTTTTTTACCTAGGGTGGTTTCTTGTGGGATGGCAGTGGCATCGTTATTGCATCGTATGGTGTAACCATACCTTCCTGACGATGGTAGCTAAATAGAAAATAGAATAGGAAATAAGGAATGGATAGGTTGCGTTTGTCGGTACTTTTGTCCATCACCATAAGATGCTACAGAAACAAAGTATTTGACCTGAAAACTCGAGTCATGTTCGAAAATAGTCTTTCTGATCTCTGCTTTTATATGGTGTTATTCAGTGACATCTAAAACTATCATTTTGGACAGAAACGATTTCTCAGAGCATTGGTTTAAATGACTTGAAAGCAATTAATCCTGTGAATCTTAACGAAGACAATCACTCAGCGAGCTTAATAGACTGGTGCTACAAAATCCGTAAGAGCTTTAGCAAATGACAAAAATCACATCATTTGAAAACTTCCAACAGCAACAACAAAAACGGGTAGCAGATGTAAGTGGAACAGGAAATAATATGATCAAGCCGTTAACTTCCCATAATAGAAAGAAAAAAAAAGAAATTCGGAACGAAATTTTTATCAGTACTAGAAAGAGTTATAACATTTAGTGGACTTGAGAAATCTGGTCTGAAAAAATCTTTTCAAAAGAAAAATTTATAAATTGAAACTGAAATTGAAATTTATAAGTTGACAACTGTTCGGTCTATGAGTTGTCGAATGTTTCCTGAAGGGAAACGGGTTATCTCACCATTACCATAACCATAACGGTAAGGGAAGATTGTGTAGCGATTAAAAAGCGTTGTCAATATTGTTTATCAATCAAATGTGTAGAGGCTATATTAGTTTTTTTATCAGTATTCTCAATTTTCTACTAAGTTTTACAGTCACGTCACTTTGAATCACAGGTTCTCGTACGATCACCGATGTTAAGCAACGTCGAGCCAGGTCAGTACCTAGATGGGTGACCGTTTGGATATACCACGTGCTGTAAGCGTGGATGTGTTCACCTCTTCTTCTCTCAGCTATCACTAAACTGTTACTATCCCCACAACACCCCCAAAATAATTTCGTACAATCTAAAAATATTTTCTGGCTTTAAATAACGTGTAAAAGATTGATAAGCCGTAAAAACCGAACCAGTCATCAAATCAAATTTCTACTAAATTTTAAAAGTGAATGTAGGCCGTCTATATTTCTGAGATGAGGTATTATGTACACTATTTATATTATTCGGACTATTTTCCTCATCTTTGTTACCATATATATATATATATATATATATAGCATGTCTTCATTCAAAAGTTTTTGGCTGAATAATCTAGATATATTATGTATTTTTTATTTTAATATTCTCAAATTCACGGATCAATTTCTTAGTGTTGTTACAAAACCGAATAAGAAAGCCGCCATAGTTTTAGTTATTTCTTTTATTTTCCCAAATACTTTGAAACTGATCCAAAATCATCATCGGGGTGAACTGCTAAGAATACAGCTTGGTATACTATCTCCGAATCCTGGAGGCTGTATTTATAAAGTTTCATCAGCCTAGCCTGTGCAAACAGAAGGAGCATTTTGTACGCTCCTTACGATTGTTGGAGGGACTGTGAGTGACTTTTTTCTTTTTTATACTCTTGTGGAAGTTGTTATTTTCACTCCCGTTTGAATTTTAATTATTTGTAATTAAAATTTATCTCTTTTTTAATCGCGTTCCACCTTTCCCTCTTCTTTGTTTACATTGAGTGTGTCTTTGATTGTTTTTCAATTTGCCAACGTATACCTTTGAAAAAATGTTGGTCGAAAGGTACCTAAGCTATAACATGACGCCCGTTTTGGTTAACTCTATGTTTTATTTCTTGGGTAAAATCACTTTTTGTATATATATATATATATATATATATATATATATATATATATATATCTATCTATCTATCTATCTATCTATCTATCTATATATATATATATATATATATAATAATAATAATAATAATAATAATAATAATAATCTTATAAATATAAGTAAGTATACTCGTCCGGAGAAATTTTAGGTGTATTGGCTTGTAAAATGAACAAACCAATACCCAAAGAAAACAAAAAAAAAAAAAAAAACGAATAAAAAAAGAAACTAAGAACATGTAATTTTGAAAATAATCAAATTTTGTCTTCTTGAAAATAATCGTCTAGAATCCAAGTTCAGAGTCCAAAGAAAAAAACTCCGACACGAGTAAAACAAAAAATAACTAAGCAAAGTGCTCAATACGCTAGGAAGAGCAAATCTAGCCTACCCTGACGATCCGCGTAGGTGAAACCCAGGTAGATTTGCCTGGCTCTTTGGTTCATACTTTTATATATATATATATATATATATATATATATATATATATATATGGTGTTCCTAAAAAATTGACATAATTTTGTAGGCAATTCTCGGTCAAATGATCTAAGATTTTAACAAAATGTGTAAAATCTGAGATAACTGTGTGGAATAATGTCAATAAGAATCTACCAGGATGATGGATGAGGCGTGTCAGTGATAATGACAATGTGATGCTGAGATGGCAACCAGCTTCACCTGACTTGACGCATTGTGATTTTTTCTATGTGGCTATGTTAAAGAACAGGTATGTACTTCATCCCTTAAAGGAACTTAAACAGAGAATCGCTGAGGGACTGGAGAATGTTACGCATGACATGCTACAGCGTATTTGGCAGGAGCTGGACTACCGACTTCACATCCGTCGTCTCACATGTGAAGTTCGCATATTGAACATTTGTGAATCTTTATAAAATCGGTTATAAAATCTAGAGCCCTTTGACTCTTTTGATCGAATTTTGATAAATAAACCTTTTATTGTTCAACATTAAGCCTATTTAATTTTGTTTACCTGGAACATGTAATTACTCAGATATTCACATTTTAAATGATATCAATCTTTTGGAGACAACCTGTATATATATATATTGACACTGAATATAGATATTGTAATGAAAACGCCCTAAGTATAAACCCGTAATTTATTTACTCTTTGAAATTGCGATCTGCAAACTTTTATAAAGTCTTCACAATTACGATATCCGGTAGGAGGAGCTAGCTTCTAATAGGAGACGGAATTCTCAACAATAAATATGGACGCCGGGCATGTGTGATAATACCTGATAACAACGAAGCAAAGATAATTATTTTCTGAGATTTTGTATTGATTTTATTTGATGGATTATTCTTGTACTTTCGGTCATCACGTTCCAGCTAACGAGTCCTGCTTGTCTTGGTGTGAAATTCCTTTTCACGTGATTGGTAGTTATTTAGATCTCTGAATTACTGACAGCATTTCGGAATTTGTTTGCATAGTGTGAGAAACTGAGATAATGTAGTGTCATTATTCTATGAATTATTTGGCTTGGTTGAGTTTGAAGTATATCAACCTATCCCAAGTTATTTAATGCTTAATTCTGTCGTTTTCACACACAATAGAAAGCTCGGCATGGCTTTGTTTTGAACGAGGTTCAAAAAGGTAGATATGAGTTTAGTTTGGACTAGGTACAAAAAGGTAAACATGGATTTGGTTTGAACGAGGTTCAAAAAGGTAGTCATGGGCTTGGTTTGAACGTTGGTGTGGTTTGCCCGATATTCAAAAAGGAAGACTCAGCTTTGTCCGAGAGTAAAAAATGTAGATACTGGCTTTTATGCACTTGAATCAAAGGGCAGATATAGATTTGGTTTGTACGAGAGGCTTAAAAGTAGAGATAATCCTAGTACAAAGTGGCTCTTTGAAAGAGACTACCCCTAAGGAGAGCTGTCTGCGTATTTTTTTTTTTTATCCCAACTGTTCAACGGCAAGAATTATTCAGACTACTGTATTCATATTGTGGGAATCTTTTTTTAGTGGAACTATTGTCATTATTCGTATTTTTTTAGTTGCGTTACGTGTTGTCTTTTTTCCTCCCTTTTTATCGTAAAAAGCCCATTTCAGAAATAAACCTCTAACGCAATTAGAACTCGAATCCCTCGTGTTTGACATCCTATACTTCTGAAGTAACGGACGCTGCCCAGCAGGCGGACATCGGATTTATTTCTATGGCTTTATTATTGTTTATTCGAAATTAATTCCGCGACAGAATTCATGTTTATACCTAATATATTTTTTTTTTTTGAAAAAAAAAAAGTTTATTTATTTATTTTAAAATCAAAACAAAAACTCTTTTTACAGTGGTGAGTAGGATAATATATCCCCTACCACCAAAAAAGCGTTTATTTTATTGAGAGGATCAGAAAACGTCATGGCTGATTTAGCGTCCCGACTATATATTGTGACGTCATGCATGACGAGTCGTTCTTTTATGCGTTTGATATTTTTGAAAACCATTTCTACCAATGTTGAATTCAATAGATAACTTTTAATTTGACCAAGTTTCTTTCTGGATCAGCACTGCCTCGCCTCTCTACTATCTGCTTCACAACCGAGTAGTGGCCCCTGGCTCAACGCAGTACCCTCTTCATCTATCGGTACCCTTCTAGATGATAAGTGCACTCGGGTCGGAGTCGCAATCCGTCTTGGATTCAAATTATGTGGACGTCACAGATGCAGATGTGGAGCTTCCATTGATGAGTTTGGTTTGCATCCTCTCTCCTGTCGTCGTAGTGCCGACCGCTTTCCACGGCATGCAGCAATAAACGACATCATCAAAAGAGGTTTGGATGCAGCTAGGTTCCCTTCCCAAATCGAACCCGTAGGCCTCGATCGTGGTAATGGAAAGCGGCCGGATGGCATTACCATTTTCCCTTATAAAAGGAAATTTAAAATTCCCTGTGCGGATACATTTTCGGCCGGTAATTTGATCAGGTCCACGGTTGAGCCGGGGTCCGTCTCCCGGGACGCAGAGATAAAAAAAAATAGTTGCTGATAGATTTTTTTTTTTTTTACTTCTGTGGTAGTAGAGACTTCTGGGGTTATTGACCCTCGTTCGATGGCGTTTCTTCGGAGGATTGGCGCGATTGCATCTCGATTAAGGGCCGAGCCTCGCGAAAAGGAGTGGCTCTTGCAGCCTATCTCACTGGCGATGGTTCGGGTAATGCTTTCTTCATCATTGCGGCTGGCAGAGGATAGAAAAAAATTCTTTATAGTTACTTTGTTCAAACTTTTTTTTTTCAATAAATAAATTTCTCATTACTTTTAAACTTTTATTCTGAAGAAGCATGACGTAATTTTTTACAAGAATTAACTGATAATGCAAATTCCATCTTGCTAAAGTAGCTATAAACATTTTTTTTACTATTGCCACTGAGACACGCTGCAAGAGCCACCTAATATTGGCTGATATATTTGTCTGAGGTTCTACATACTGAATTGTCTCGATATTTCTATATTCTAAGACTATTAAACAGTGTGGAGTAGAAATAAAAAAAAAATAAGGTCCGACGATATAGGAATTGGAGTCAAACTTGTTCAAAAAACGATGAAAATGAATATCCTCATCTTTGTTGTACTGATATCAACAAACATGCATAAAAGCAGTAGAAGACATGTTAAGCTACTTTAGATATTTGAACTCGTGTATATTGCTGTCTTTTTCTGTTAGTGCTATGATTAGAGATTGTGATATACGACTACTTATGCTGTATTTTGGTAAGCGAAATTAAAAATGTCCACTGGAATTTTGTATGTTTAAATCTTTACATAATGACATGAATATTTTTCTTGACGTTACCTGTAATGACAAAAGTACACAGGTGTAGGCTTTAAGAAAACTTTATTCAACTGAGAATACAAGGTTCGCGTTTTGTGTCTTTTTATAATCCCAGTAAACAGAAATCGCCCTCTCAAAGAGGAGAGTAATAAAACAAGGGGAGATCACTCCTGATTATTCATAATATTACCATCAGAAATAGCGGTATAAAATTACTTATTTTAACTTTTTATTAAATGAAATAAATTCATTAAACTAGAAATAATTACGCTAATAATAACGTTAATAATACAGGGTGTACCCAATAAATTGACATCATTTTCTAACCAATTCTCGCAAATAATCACAAATTTTAACAAAATGTGTAAAAACTAAGATTGTGCGGACTTATCTAAATGAAAGTCTATCGGGAAGATGGCTCAGGCGTGCCAGTGATAATAACAATGTGCTACTGAAATAGCCACCTTGTTCACCTAACTTGACATCTTATGATTTTGTTTTTCTAGGGATCTATGTGAAAGGACATTTCGATATCCCCCGCTTCCTAAAAGCTTAGCAGAACTTAAGCAGAGAATCTCTATGGCCCTGTAGAATGTTAGGCAAGACATGCTAAGAAAAAACTAAATTGAATTTTTAAGTTTTTATTAATTTCACGGTGAAGAATGGAGTGCAGTAGAAATGAATAGTCATTTTGCATGTTAGAATTTGCTCGTACGCAGTCAAGGAAGAGTATGCAGCGTTCATTTTCCAGAGAATTCAAGAAAAATGCATCATCTAGAAAGCTAATTTTGGCATGGCACAAAGAATTCAAATGCGCTGGAGAATGTTACGCAAGACATGCTACAACGTGTTTGGTAGGAGTTGGACTGCCGATTTGACGTGTATCGTGCCACAGGTGGTGCGCTTATTAAACATTTGTAAGCTTTGAGAAATCGGTTATAAAATCTACATCCCTTTGAATCTCTTGTCCGAATTTTGATAAATCTTTTCTTGTTCAACATGAAGTCTATTTAATTTAATTTACCTGGTCCATGTAGCTACCTAAATATTCACATTGTAAATAATGTCAGTTTTTGGGGGACACCCTGCAATTTTTCTACGAATAAAACCTACTTGCCTCACGGTTAGTTCCTTAGCAACTAGATAATTGGGGAATTTCCGCATGAAATGATTTGAAGCAGCAGAAATGTGATTCTACAGAAGGATGCTGAAAAAAACCATGGACTAAACATATGAGCCACAAAGAACTTTTAGAGAAAACGGAAACAATAAAGAACACTTGTAATTAACATCAGAAAGAGACAATTGAAATTTCTCGGACACATAATAAGGAAATCATGCTTGGAAAATTTGATACTCATAGGGACAGATTGAAGGTAAGAGGGACAGAGCAAAACAACTTCTAACAGACATCTTGAGTGAATGGATGACGGAACAGATTTTAGTTGAGATAACAAAAAGAAAAAAAAAACTAAAGGAATATATCACAAAAGAAATTAAAAATTATGATTTGTAAGAAAATTCAAATAGGAAAAACGTGAAATTTCCATGGGTATTTCTGGTCATGTTATAATTCTGATTCTTGCTTAGTTTCTTGGCGTGTATGTTACGCCCTGCCATTGCGTCAGATAAACAATGGACCATTTATGTTCGATTGTGAAGATAGACCTTTAATAGCTTACCCATTATCGTCCCGCAAATTGAAAAAAAATATATCTGCAAAGCGCTGTTTGGTTTTAGAAAAAGCAAAGGAAAAGAAATAAAGATAGAAAAAAAGAAAGAAACAAAGCAAGAAATGAAGAGTGAATTATTAGAAGAAGGAACGAACAAAAGAAAGAAAATAAGAGAAAATTATGAAAAGAAAGAAAGAAAGAAAGAAAGAAAGAAAGAAAGAAAAGGAAGATAGAGGATGCGATAACATTCATGTGTTTAACGTCTGCTTCAGTGAAATGGGAAAACTTGTCAGTTTTGAATTTTTCATTTGTACCCTTTTACTTCTTTAAGTAGTGATACACATTAACGTTCATGATTTTTGCTATAATGCTCTGCGAACATTTTTAAGCTCAAATAACGATTGCAGTAAGGGAATTTCTAAGCAAATTTTATAGTCATGAAACTTGCAGGCAGCGCATTTAATCATTAAGTTAAAAATTATGATTCATTCAAAAAATCCAAGAGGAAAAACCTGTGAAATTTTTCACTGGTATTGCTATTTTATTGGGAAATGCTTCGTTAATTACAGCACTAATTTAACATTATTACATTGGCAGTTTTCACCTCCTTTTAGTTCTGTCTGTTTCCATCTCCTGTACAATTGATTCGTTTGTTGGACGGATCGCAAAGCAAGCGAGTCGGGCCTGGAGGAGATGAGAACGGAAAGGCAGTTGGTCACGACCAGAAAGAATCGAAAAACTGAAATAATTTAGCCAGGTATTCAGGGCTCAGAACCTTTGCACTCACATCCTGGAGGGCCGAATCGATGGCTGGAGACGGAGAAAACCAAGACGATGCTAGAATGATTATATCAGAGATTAGATAGAGAGGATCCTGGCGGAGTGAACGGTTGTGCCGATGGAATGATGATAGCGGAATGCATTGGTCATTGGTGGAACTGTTCATGGCTCTGGACCTTCAGCAAAAAAGATGGGAAGAAACAGGGGAAAAAAAGCAAAACATTGAGAATTAAAGTCAAGAAAAACTGTTGAACACAGTTGATTTTATTCAGAGTCTGAAACAAACAGGAGGAGGAGCGTGACTGTTTAATATTCTTTTGGCTAAATTACACCTTAATTGTGCATTGTAGAGCAGGTGTAAGAAAACTCTTATTCATATCACTTGAGGTTTGAGTTAATATCTATAGCGTCGAGGAAAACGAACAATAAAATAGACGTTTTTCTGTGCCAAGTTCAAGGAGCGTAAACATTTCCCCAAATACTTCTAAAATCTCTAGGAAATGAGACAAACAAAATTTGTTTTGCTTACTGTTAGAGAGTACTAGAAGGCATTTTCGCGTCTGATTTTGTGGGAATACAGAAGCAACGATCAAGAAAGACATTTCTGTATCTGTCTATATTTCTGAGATGAAGTATTATGTACATTATTTACATTATTAGGACTATTGTCTTCATCTTTGTCGCCATATTTATTATAACGTTTCGGCCGTTGTACGCTCCGGCCTTCTTCAGATGGTCGGAATGTCGAACTGAACCCTTTATTTCGCTCACTGGGGGAGACTGTTCTAATTCCACGTGCCATGTTTAATGGATGTCAGTTATCAGTTATCTCCTGTTAATTTCTCTCTGAAAGTTCTCCACTGCCTTAACCGGGTATTAAACTCATACTCTTTGGGTCCTGACACTGGATCTAACCAACTTTCAAAGGGAAATTAACAGGAGATAACTGATAACTGACATCCATTAGTCGTAATTGAACTACCGGGACAAGCTTGTGAACCATTATACTACGTAGAAGTGCCCATGTGAACAGACTGAAAAAAGTATGTAAATGGAAAAACAGATAGATGTCTTTTTCATTGTACTTAAACGTTTTCCATTAACCACATAGATCGAACATTATACAGGGAAAATTTCAGACCAAAGTTCAGCTAACGTGGAAAGAAACAGATTTCGGTATCAACCGTCCAGAGAAAATATCCAGTCCGGTTTAAAAAATTAATTAATTTAAAGTAAATTAAATAAATCAAGATGTAATACACAAAATATTGTAAAAATTATAGTTAGATGGGAGAGTCCGTCATACATAAAATAGGGAGTTACTTTTCAATCACCCTGTATATATATATATATATATATATATATATATATATATATAAAGAAAGATAGTCTTAAGATGTGCTATATTTATGGGATAAAGTGCTCAATATCAGAGAAAGAGCGTGTGAAATATAAAAGTGAACACAGAAGTCAACACTTAGAGGCGACAGTCTGTTTCATGCTAGACGCAATCCTCAGGCCACCTGACGATTGCGTATAGCATGAAATATATATATATATATATATATATATATATAGTGGTACAAAATTTTATCACTGTCATGAATAGACAAAAATTAATTTTATTATTACAACTCATGTTGATAATAAAATGTAAAAATGAATAACGGACTAGCTAACCGGTTTCGTACCTCGCTCAACAGAGCTAAATCGAGGTAAATAGAATAAATTATATAATAATAACTTTTCCCATTGTTTTTTTAAAATTTTTTTTTATTATATAATTTACTCTATTTACCTCGATTTAGCTCTGTTGAGCGAGGTACGAAACCGGTTATTTTTTTATTATCATGAGTGGTAATAATAAAACTAATTTTTGTCTGTTCATGGCAGTGATATATATATATACATATATACAGAGAGAGAGAGAGAGAGAGAGAGAGAGAGAGAGAGAGTTACTTTTCATTCACCCTGGACTTGGAGCAGGTGAAGAGAAACAAATACACACAGACACGTGCATATGCGCTCGCGCGCATGTGCGCTTACACGCGCGTGTGTGTGTGTGTGTGTGTGTGTGTGTGTGTGTGCGCGCCCATGCCTGAGTGTAAGTTTAACTACTGGGGCTTTGTCTCAAAATGATAGCCACCTAAAGCAGCAGGCTTATCTGTAGTGAGTTTAATCTGCTCTGGCTGATTAAATGTGAGTTTTTACCAAACTAAGATTATATGTAGTCATTTGCGAGCGCACCTTCCCACTCGCTAATTATGTGTGTTTGGATGTATGTTTGAATATCTATCTATCTATCTATCTATCTATCTATCTATCTATCTATCTATCTATGATAAAATAGAGTTTTAATGTATGCTATATTTATGTGTTAGAGTGCTCAATATCTGGAATAAATAGTATATAAATATAAATGACAACATGCGTTTAAGAAACAGACTGTCGCTTCTGGGTGTTGAATTCAATGTCCACTTTGCACACACACACACACACACACACACACACACACACACACACACACACACACACACATATATATATGTGTGTGTGTGTGTGTGTAAATATATATATATATAAATATATATATATATATTTATATATACAGACACAAATATATATTATATATATATGTGTATAAAACATTAATATATAGCGTCTATAGTGATGAGAAGTAATATCAGATTAAAAGAACATCAATTTCTTTATATATATATATATATATATATATATATATATATATACACATGTGTGTGTATGTGTGTATATAAATATATATATATATTTATACACATACACACATATATATATAACAGTAATATATAGCTTTTATAGTGATGAGAAGTAATATCAGATTTAAAAATATTTCTTTATATATATATATATATATATATATATATATATATATAATAGGTACACGTGTTTGAGTAGACATCCCTATTTTTTAAATAATCAAATTCCTATCTACCTACCTAAGGCTGAATGAATGTCTGCCTTCCGACAGAAATCGAACATGTCTAGGTCGGTAGACATTAATTCCCTTTTTTGAAAAAAATGAAAAAGACAAGCAACCATTGAATATAAAGTTCATTGCAATAAAAAATATGCGTGTGTGATTGTGTGTGGATGCGTGTGCGTGTGTACACAAATCAAAGGAGACAGAAACATACTTAGAGTATGACACACATACACACAAACACACGCACACATAGAAACGCAGTCACAAATTCACAGTTATACACGACTTACGGCCACATCACATTCAAACACCGGTTCCCATAAAATCACCGAAGTTAAGCAAGGTCGAACTTGGTCAGTACCTAGTTGGGTGACCGCTTGGGAATACCAGATGTTGTGAGCTTGGATGTGCGGGTCATGTAACGGATAATGGCTAAGAATTGTTAATCGGAGAGCCGAGTTCCAATTCATGTTGGGTTCGTTATATTCACTTAAACGCAAATATACATGAGAAAAGGTATGAATCCATCACTCCTTCCCCTAGCTATGGGTTAATTATTAATAGCTGTATCACTGAAACAATTATTACCTAAAAAAAAATAATACAATCTAAAAATATTTTCTGGCTTTAATTAACCTGCGAAACGGTTTATAAGCCGTAGAAAACGAGTTCACCAACATCACAGTGACGCAGACATACGTGTACTCAAAAAGATGGAGACGCTCACAGACATACACGCATGCGCACGGAGATATACGAGACCAAGAGATATTCAAATGTATATGTTTAATCAATTTCTAGTCAATGTAATATTTTTACGTTGCTTTCTTTCAGGCATTTTCTATTCAATATAAAGGCACACTTTTCGCCCCCTTCATCTTATTTGTCAAGCATTGCCATTAAAAAAACACCCATATATATATATATATATATATATATATATATATATATATATATATATATTAAGTACGCATCCTGTTGATGTCAAACTTGCCCGAAAGTCAACATCCCGAGATACGTCATCAGGAAGTTAATAAAAAAGAAAAGAAAGAAGAAAATATGGACACCATTTTTTTAATCAAATACTCAACAGTTTTTAAAAGTCTACCTCCATTTGGGATCGTTGTCGCTTATGTTTTCGAAAAAAGATATTAAAAAAGAACTCTTTATTATTTTTTTTTTAAATTCGATCATCTCTGATGTTTATACATAGATAACATTTTCTTAGATTTTAGTTTTTCTTTCATATGTGTGCATATAAATTTATATGTTAAATATCATTAAATCTGTTAAATCTATATGTGGATGTAGTAGTAAGTACCGCGCGCAGACATTGAGAAGATGGCGCGTGCTTTGATGTAAACTATAAGTTTTCCATAGATTTATGTACATAAATTTGTCGAGATTATTACGTCAGTATTCTATTATTTAGATACAGCTCTTTCGGAAGTTATTAGAAAAATGTTCCTATCCAAGCGTTACTTGGTAATATATATTCTTACAGCGTATCTATCTATCTATCTATCTATCTATCTATCTATCTATCTATCTATCTATCTATTATAAACGATATTTTAATGGTCGCAGACATTTAAGTTGCTATCATAAATACTATGTATCTATTATTAGATACGTTATTTTTAGTAGATGCGAGTATTTGGTTTGCTATCAAAGTTTCTATCTATCTATCTATCTATCTATCTATCTATCTATCTATCTATCTATCTATCTATCTATCTATCTATCTATCTCAGTGTCTACCTATCTATTATTACTATTAACGTTATTTTTAGTTTGTACACGTATTTAAGTTGCTATTATAATTCCTATCTATCTATCTATCTATCTATCTATCTATCTATCTATCTATCTATCTATCTCAGTCTGTTATTTCTATCCATCTTCCTACAGGGTGCGATAGATAAATTGTCGTTTAAATTACGCGAAGATGAAAATAACACTGACATCCCATTTTAACAGATATATTAATCAAAATTACCCATAAATATCTTGAAATACTAAAGAGTAATTTTATTCAATAAAATCGCCATTGTCTTCAAGCATGGTCTCCAGACAAAATTCAAAATCTCCTGCAATTCTTCTGGGTGGTTTCATTGTTTAAGTTGGTGAATGCTGCCATAATCCTTACCTTCAGTTCATCTTGGTTGTTACAAGGCATTTTGTTGGCCTCTCGCTCAACTGCGCCCCACACATAATAATCAAGAGAGTTTTTAGTATGACGAGTTAGGTGGCCAGATATAAGGGGTGATGTGGTGGCAGAAATTGTCTGACAGCTATGACTAATGTCTCCTGCTTGTGAGATATGGTGCAGAGTTCTGTTGTCAGATATAGTGTTTTCCAGCAGTCACCCTCATGAGCCAGAGCAGCACTACCTACTCAAGGCCTCTGTGTTGGGTCTAAAGCCTCGTGGAGACATAACGTCGCCATTACTAGTGATCACTCTGTAATCACCATAAGACTCATCCAACTCTTTCAGAATCCTCTGCACTGTCCTCAGATTGGCACCCAAACAATCTGAAATGTTCGGATTTGAGCTTCCGGCGCAAATTCCAAGCAGTATGGCATGCAGTTTCCAAATTTTGGCGGAGTGAATTGCGTCATGGTGCTCTTTTTCTCAAAAATGGTTCCCAGCTGACCCTACTATACTTCGCCGTCGACAAAATAGAAAACAAACAATACGCATGCGCGTAATCAAAAATATAAAAATGCGGCAATTTATCCATCGCACTCTGTATTATTAGAAACGTTATTTTTTAGAGGATGCGCGATTTGATTTCCTATCAATGTTACTATCTATCTATCTATCTATCTATCTATCTATCTATCTTATTTTCTTTCTCTGTTCATATATCTCTTAATATTCTTACGTCTATCCCCCTCTTACGTCCTGGTCATATCACTCTATCTCTCTCTGTATCTACGAGAGGCAAGACAAAATATGTAAAAATTGAATCGCTAGTGCGAACTGGAGTATGGATCCAGGAGGAGCAGTCCTCTTTATGAACGAATCCGCTAGCTCCGAAACAATCGCTTCGAAGGAGATGGTGGAAACTAGATGGCCTAAATCTAGGTACCATAGAGGAAAGTTTATCAGAACAATCACCATGAAAGTATTTATAGAAGATACACGACGGAGTTATATTACGGCGGTGGGAAATTGCCAGGTCAGGATCTATAAGATTGTAGATTCTTCTTCGGATTTTATTAAGAATCTATAAAATGTATAGCAGATGTACAATCTTGTCTTAATTTTCTTGTTCGTGACGGCTGGGAAGTGTTCTAGCAAAGGGCGGGAAGTGTAATACTGTGATCCGAAGACGTATTGCAAAATCTAAGCAGACTATTATGAGACAGGAAAATTGCGTCTTCTCACCCGACCTGTTCAATCTATACAACGAAGCAATACTGAGAGATTCTGAAATCCCCCCGGAATTTAGCATCGGCTTTCACAATCTTAACAACATAAGATACGCAGATGACACAGTACTGATAGCAGACAAGGAAAAGAAATTATAAAATTTCCTACAGAAGGTAGCGACGGAGAGTGAGAAGAAAGGACTAAGCATAAACTACAAGAAGACAGAGTGCATTGGTCATCAGTAAAAAGATAAGCCCGAAACGCGATTTGCAGGTCGGGAACACTAGAATCAAGCAGACGCGAAAGTTTAAATATCTGGGAAGCGTTTTGACAGAGGACGGTAAGTGCGACACTGAGATCCGTAGAAGAATTGAGATGGCCAACGACGCATTCCTCAAGTTAGGCAGAGTATTGCGAGACAGAAGGATTTCTTTGGTAACAATGAAAAGAATACTGAGTTGTTACATGGCATTTGTCCTTCATTACAAAGAAGAACTCAAGGTGATGGAGATGTGGTTCTACAGAAAGATGATAAGTATATCATAGACCGAGCGTGTGTGCAACGATGAAGTCTTAGAGAGGATGCAAACAAGGAGGAGGCTTATGTTTAACATCCGAAAGAGGAAGCTGAAGTTCCTGGAACACATCATGAGGAAGGAGGCCCTGGAGAATTTGATACTCACGGGTCTAATAGAGGGAAAGAGAGACAAGGAAAAACAACGGCGGCCTTAAGAAAGTGAATGACAGAACGTGGTCTGGGGGAGGTGAGAGAGGGAAAGAACACGTTGAGACCTCCGAAGGATAGAGAGAAGTGGAGAGCCATGATCGCCTACGTCCTGAAAGGACATGGCATATAGAAGAAAAGAAAGAAAGAAAGAATGACTCTTCTTATTGAATTCTCAAGGTGAGGGTACAAGTCTGTGATGGATGATAATGACTATCCTCAACTTGCAAATATGACACATCGAATAATGACAGAGGTGGGGAAGTGAGGATATTCTTTTCATTTTTCTTTTTAAATGCCTTGTATTATTCCAGATTTTTCACCTTCAGGTCATTAATTGTCTCGCTGTATAAAAAAAAAATCTGCCATTTTCTGGTCAGTTTTTTTTTTCAAACCAGAGCGGCTTACGGCTATATCACCTTAAAAATAGTCGAGTCTGGTCAGTACTTAGATGTGTGACCATTTGGTTTGGTTTGGTTTATTTTGATTAACTGCATATCAACTTCACTGGCATTTTTAGGATAGATTCGTATGAATAGAATATGTATTCTTTGGTTTAGATTGGTTTGGTTTATTTTGTTTTACGGCATTTCAACCTCAATGGGTTATTTAATGCCGACAACAATTTTAGGATAGATTCTTATGAATAAAATATGTATTATTTGGTTTAGATTGGTTTGGTTTATTTTGTTTTACGGCATATCAACCTCAATGGGTTATTTAATGCCGACAACATTTTTAGGATAGATTCGTATAAATAGAATATGTATTCTTTGGTTTAGATTGGTTTGGTTTATTTTGTTTTACGGCATTTCAACCTCAATGGGTTATTTAATGCTGACAAAAAGTTGCTGGTAATATTTTGTTTTGTCAAAAATCTCTTTCCAGTAATATATTGCCTTCAAAATTGTATTGCTGGTAATATTTTCTTTCAAAAACGTATTGCTGGTAATAGTTAACTATTTGCCCATAGCTGGGACCCTAACAGGTGCTACCACCCCAAGTTAGAGTGTACCTAGGAACACCAGCAATTAAGAGGAGGTTCCACGCTACTCAAGACCTCCTGATCACATGTCTTGCTGCTGGATGTAGTTTAACGTCTTACCCAGAACGCGGATGTAGTTTAACGTCTTACCCAGGACCAGTGTGACCATTTGGAAATACCACGTGCTGTAAACTTGGATGTGCGGGTGGTGTAATGGAATAATGGCTCGGAATTTTTAATGGGAGTGCCGAGTTCAAGTTTCATTTAGGTTCGTTATATTCAGTTAGGTGCAAATACATCTGGGAAAGGCATGAATCCACCTCTTTTCCCCCAGCTTTGAGTTAATTAGGAAAAATTTATCACGAAAGGCATTGTTATCTGCCTATCGCCAATTTTTGCGATTAAAAAAAAAATCTGGATTTAAATAAACTGCAAAAGGTTGATAACCCATAGAAAACGAATCAATTGATCAATTAAAGCTCAAATAGAAACTGATATCTTTCTCTTATGATAAAGAAAGTTGCCCAGTTTTCCTGAAATGATGTGTACGGACAGAGAACACCGGAGGAAGAAACAAAGACACTGATGACTGATGAATTTATGCGAATAAAAGAATTTGTCGATTTTTTTTTTCCGACGGAAACTTTTGCATATATCCACCTAATATATGTTCACTTCTCCCATGACTATAAAAATCTTACTTTTAAGATACAACTTTAGCTTTTTTGTGTGCTAGTAGATGTATTTTTTCATCGAGGTTTCTTTACATTCAGATACTGCCTACCACAGCCGAAAATAAAATCGCTACTGGTGTGCCCACAGAAACACACAAAAGGACTTACGTTAAATAATATGTACCATACACTTACATTAGAGCACAACAGTCGTTCCCGAATTAAATATTTTAATAAGCAAGAAATAAATCATATATATATATATATATATATATATATATATATATATATATATATATATATATATATATATATGTGTGTGTGTGTGTGCGTTTGTGCACCTACGTAAGCATGCCTTTATATCTGGAATTATGTATACGTATGTAGATATCTGCTTTGCATGAATATACTTGAACAAAAGTATAGATTTCCATCTACTTATTAATATATATATATATGTGTGTGTGTGTACGTTTTTTTTTTACTTTTTTCAATCGAAGTGTATATGTATATTTACTTGGCAAGCAGAATATAATGCATTTGTTTTGAAGATAAAATGGATTGCGAAAAACATTGGAATGAATAAAATAAAGTCGATAAAAAGTATGTATATTGTAAATTGTACAAACAAAACAGGCAAAAAAAATTTAAAAAGAACAAACAAATCAAAAACAACATACGAATGTAAAGCCGCAGGGTAGAGAATATAATTAAATAACCCAACTTCTATGTGCGATTTTCATCAGCCGTTTTGTTTCGCCGTCTTAGATTGGAACTCTTTTTTTTTTAAAGACACAAAAGTTATTTTTTCCGTAGATCTTACTTTGAAAATTTTTTAGTTTACCTTTACGTATATACATAAATACATATTTGCATACGACTTCATATAAGTTTTGGTATGTGTATGTATCCATGACGATTACTCTTAGCTTGCATTAAGTAAAATAAGTTCTGTATGACCACCGAACTTCAAAATAAGTTAATATCTGCTCAGAATATGGCGATGAAAATGTAATGTGAATGAAGGTATGTCAAATAATTAAAAAAAGAAAACGAATTAAAAAAAACTGGTTCTTCCTGTCATATATTCCTATTCAAATGCGTACATCGTTTATTCATGCTTTTAGTATCATTTTATATCAATACATTTTGCATTATATCTGTACCTACACCCTATATATATATATATATATATATATATATATATATATATCTTATATATATATATATATATATATATATATATATATATATATATATATATATATAGTTATCTTCATAACTCTATATATATTATGCATTCTCTTTTTCTCTCAAACATATACACACAGTAACACTGATAAAGTTGAGATAGTGTGGCGTCAGTTAGAATATAAACAAATGCAATCGAATGAACACATAGAGATATTTGAATTGATCTATACTGACAACAACAGTTTGGGTGTTTTTGATTCTATGGCATCAACACTTATAGGGTGATTTAATGTCGAATTCAGCATTTTTTTAAATAAATATACTTGGTTCAGCCATAAATAAAAATTGTCTGTTTATATTTGAGTCTATAAGTATTTACTTGTTTTCGGAACAGGTTAATACTGTTCGTTTATATTTGAGTCTATAAGAATTTATTTGATTCAGTGCTAGGTAAATATCAACCATCTATAGATTATAAGCATCTATTTTACTATTTACTATCACCGAACCAAGGGGTTGGTATTACCCCTCTGTAAGGCATGTGTTCGGTGTATTCTACGTCCACCCGACAAGGTACTAAGCTATTTCAGTCCTGCTTTTTGATTGAGGTAGTTGCAATGTTTATACCTGTGCTACAGGTCAGTGTTGGAACACGATGGCAAATACTGTTTTTCAAAATAGGTTGACCTTTTAATTGATTTGGGAACACCTATATATATATATATATATATATATATATATATATATATATATATATATATATATATACATGCAGTGAGAACGTATCAAAATAAATTCAAACACATAGCATTATTTTAAAATAGACCTCAATAGAAAAGCAGGGCGATAATTCTTTATTATAGGTTATTATTGTCGAACATACATATTTCTGCCATATTAATGTATTAATGTTTCTATGTACATCATAACATCTCATCAGGCGGTGGTAAAAATATATAAATAATTCCTCTTAAATTGATCATCGATTGATATATGTATATTTGGGAACTTTGGCATGGTGTAATTGTTAGCTGCTTATCGTGCCAGGTTCATTATTTTTCATAGTGAGGTTCGTCCTATACAAGGCTCGGGGGCCGCCGAGGTAGACGGTTATATTAAGAGGCAGTTCATATAGATAAGAGGGAATGATAACAGTTAGCTCTAAACTTGAACAGATTAAAATTAGAGTGATTGTGGAAACATTCTCATGGGAGTCAGTTCCACAGAGCCATGGTTCACGGGAAGAATCTGTCCGAGTGCAAATTCGGAGGGATAAGGGTGGTTTGCTATTATGTAAGTAGGATGGTGGGTTCTAGCCGTGAAGGTTACGACTGAAAGAACCAAGGAATGCAGTTCGTCCGAGTATTTTTCTATGGAAATAGTGATAGAACAGTGAGAATATTGCCACATCCCGCCTGTGAGAGAGGAGTTGCAGGATGGAAAAAACTTTTCATCCACAAAGAGACGGAGACGCTTTTAAACTCTAGAATGGAAAGTGAGGACTGGGCAGCTCCAGCCCAAGTATGACAACAGTACCCCGTTCTCGGCTTAATCTGGCTCTTGTAAAATTAGTGGATACCATATGGAATGAGGTACTTCCTGAATCCGTACAGGGAACTGACCATTTTTCCTGCACCTTTAGCGATGAATCGTATGTAGGTGTTCCATTTGAGGTCAGGTGTGAGACTAAGGCCCACTAGTTTCTTACGGAGACTCCCCGAAGGGGACATTCGTTCATCGTGATTGCTGGTAGTTCGAAGTTTACTCGGAATGTAATTAGTTTGGTTTTCGAGGGACTGAATGTAACCAGCCAGTTTTCCCCACTGAGAAGTTAGTGCTTGATTGAATAAGTGATCAACCGCCAGTCTCTGAGCATCAAGACGTTTGGAGGTGCATCCATAAATCGTTGTATCATCGGCATAGATGTTTACAAATTAATATATATTGTTATTATTGCAGTATATATATATATATATATATATATATATATATATATATATATATATATATATATGAGTGAACATTGAAGTCAACACTCAGAGGCGACAGGCTGTTTCATGCTAGACGCAATCGTCAGGCCGCGGGGTCTGACGATTGCGTCTAGAGGCCTGACAATTGCATTTATTCTTCAGGTGGTTGTGAATGTCGAACTGAACCCTTTATTTCGCTCACTGGGGTAGACTATTCTAGTTCCACGTGCCATTTCTAATGGATGCCAGTTATCAGTTATCATTTCACCACTGCCTTAACCAGGTATTGAACTCACACTCTTTGGGTCCTGTCACTGGATCTAACTAATGGGACATAATGGGTTCAGTTCGACATTCCAACCATCTGAAGAAGGCCGAAACGTACAACGGCCGAAACGTTGTAATAAATATGTCAACAATGGTCCGAAAAAATAATGTAAATAGTGTACATAATACCTCATCTCAGAAATATAGACAAATACTGAAAAAAATAATTAAAATAATTAAAAAAAAAAACAAATGAAAACTATAAATTTCATTTTCTTCGAGTCATTCACTCCTGTAGTTCACTGCTAGTAACAAGCAGAATATTTTTTTCTCCTGATGTTGGCTTGCACGGCCATCATCAGGAGAAAAAAATATCTGAAAAATATCGAGCTGAAACTAGTCGAGGAATCTAATTGGAATAATAAAACAAAAAAATATTAATATACAACCCAGTGTGTCTGAAAATTTTAATTTTTTATAGTTTTATTGTTCAAAATACACACACACACACACACATATATATATATATATATATATATATATATATATATATATATATATATTATATTATATTATATTATATATTAGCGTTATCAAAGTAGGCAGATCATTTATGTAAATCAAAATAGTGAATAGTGAGTCTGATCCTCAATGGGTGCTCCATAATTTTGGCCTCGTACTAACTCTAAACTATGCTTAGTAAATCGCTACATCTATGTTTGTGTGTTTGCATGGGGGGGGGAGATAAACTGTTATGCCTAAACTGAGACTAAGCACTTGCTTTGCTTGAATGAATCACTGGAACAAAAAAGACATTTTCATGTTAACGAACACGACCAGTGGTTTCTCATGCATCAGCCAACGCCGGTCCACACGTTGGCTTGGCAGCTGGATTCAAAATTATGGTAAAGCTCCTGAGGTATAAGGAATTCGCAGGTTTCAGGACAAGAAAGCCATTACAAAAATAGGCCGCTTTATTAAGCAGGCATATTCCTCGTGAATGCTGGCTATTTCGAAAATTAAAAAAAATATATCTGAAGATATAAAGATTTGTTTAAGTCGTTTCTTTCTAATCTAATCACACGTGACTAGATTATTGAAATATATTCCAGACAACAATTCCCAAGAATACTTCCTGCAATGAGAGCATTGTCTTGCAAAGTGCACAGCTTCAAAAGAGGAATACTTCGAAGGTTACAGCCACAAATAATGAACAGGTGATCAATCTGTAGGTGCACAGGTCTCTGTGGCAAACTGTAAATTACGCCTGGCTAAGATTTGCTTTCGAAGGAAAAGAGAATCCAGGTTCCATCTCTGACGAGAGACATTTCCATTAATAAGACTTTCTGTTTCACAAAAAAAAGGAAATCTCGACTCAAACACTAAAATACCGTTTATAGCAATAATGAATAATGTCAAAATAAAGGCATAAATTATCTTGTTTACGCTTCAGTCATGAATATAAATATGAGGGACTTTATTATTTGCATTGATAAAGTACATCAGACGAGGAAACGTGTCGGCTAAGATAAGTTTTCTTTTTGTCTTTTTTACTATTATTCTTTTACAGCTATAGACTGAATTAAATTTTTACATATACACAAGGTTCGATGGATAAATTATCGTCTAAATTACGCAAAATTAATCTACCTCAGTCTGTACATATCTATCTATCTATCTATCTATCTATATCTATCTATCTATCTATCTATCGATCTATCTATCTATCTCAGTCTGTTATTTCTATCTATCTTTCTATAGGTTGCGATAAATAAATTGTCGTTTAAATTACGCAAAGATGAAAATAACACTGACATCTTATTTTAACAAATATACTTACCAAAATGACGCAACAACATCTGCAAATACTAAAGAGTAAATTTATTCAATAAAAATCGCCATTGGCTTCAACCACTGCCACCAGACGACTTCAGAAACCCCTACTTCTGGACGGTCTCCTCGTTGCAGAAATTGTCTGACAGCAATGACTGGTGTCTCCTGCTTGTGTGGCCCGCTGCAGAGCCCTATTGCTCGACATAGGGTCTTCTAGCAGACACTCTTATTAAACACAGTTCTCTATGTTTTCTCTTATACATTCATATCTGCTCAATGCGTATCTAAATGTAAACAAATGATGTCACAAATTATGAAATAGACAAAATCCGACAATTATTTTTTAAGACATTTTTTATGTTTATACGTTCTTTTTATAGGTACAAATATTTAAGTAAATGCTCTGTTTATAATAAATTCTATGAAAATTTCTCGGACATTCAGGCCGGTAAATGTTGTTAATACTTTATTATAAACAGAGCATTTACTAAATATTTGTACCTATAAAGATAACGTATAAACATAAAATATATATATATATATATATATATATATATATATATATATATATATATATATAAAAAGTGAACATAAAGTCAACACTTAGAGACGACAGTCTGTTTCATGCTATATGCAATCGTCAGGAAACAGATCGTGGCCTGACGATTAAGTGTTGACTTCTATGTTCACTTTTATATTTACACACGCTCTATCTCTGATATTGAGCACTTTATCCCATAAATATAGCACACCTTAAGACTATATTTCTTTTATATATATATATATATATATATATATATATATATATATAATTATTCATCCGAAAATTATAACATAAATATGTTATAAAATCACTACAAATATAGCCATTTTGTTTCAACACTTATGGTGTCTTATAAAGTGATGATGTTGAATGTAAAATAAAGGGTTTTCCTATTTTCCTTTATTCTATATTCAATATCATATTTATGTTATAATTTTCGAATAAATAATTATATTTGCTCTACTCTGTATTGAGCACTCTTTTAAGAATATTATTTTTTGGTTATTGGAATTTATTCCGTATACACAATGGCATCTGTGATATTTTGCTTTGGATCAGTAATGCTCCCGGATACACAATATCTTTAACATAACATCACAGAAAGAAGTCCAGCCTTTGTAATATATTTTTTGAATTGTAAATAATTTTTATCAATATATATATATATATATATATATATATATATATAATATACAACCTCATTCAGTTTTTATGTTTGTGTCCTATGTGACACTTCAGCCCCGCCAGTGACCTGCATACAAGACCACATATTGTGCAACAGCGAGGATCCCTGTACATGCCAACAGGAATATTTGATGACGTCATCATCAGGCCTGAAGATGGTGTTCAAGATTGAAACCGACTGTCACCGATTGATGGTGACCTTAGTGTCGTTTCATCTGCAGAGAAGGATACAGCTCTAGTTTAAGACTTCTGAAATATTTATTCCCGGTCGTTTCATCAGCAGAGAAGGTTACGGGCCCAGTTTAAGACTTCTGAAATATTTATTTCCGGTCGTTTCCTCTGCAGAGAAGGTTATGACCTCAGTTTAAGCCTTCTGAAATATTTATTTCCAGAATTTTCTTTTTTTCAAATTCGTAGTGATCTAAATGGATATTCACCTATAATTGTGTAAATATACGTGCTGATGGCTCTGCGCCTTCTCGGAAAATATTCTCCAGGTTACTTCCTTCCGTTTTCTGGGGGTCTCTCAGAGAGTTTTTCTTTTTGTACTCAAATTCAAAATCTTTGTTCAGCTTCGCAAACCATTCCAGAAACATGCTTGCTCCGACTGCATTATTTCAGTTCAGTGATCCTTGTAAAATTACTGATGCGCTTTTGTTTATCGCCAGGTGAAAACACGAAGAATAGATAATGCCGAAAGTGATTTTTTTTAAATATTCAGCTATGGTTTTCGACAAAATCACATGTACACGTACACACTATAAAAAACTTTGAAGATACTTCTAAAATATCGCTAAAATTGCGCCATTCCGAAAACATTCTCTCTACAGTGACAAAATGTCAGCTCAAACACCGATTTACGTTGACCTGTTGAATGGTGGACAAATTGATGTAATAAACGCCATGCACGTTTGACAAATATTTTTTTGCTGATTGAATACGTTTTATGATTTTTCAAAGAAGACATTACGATACTGAGTCGCCATTTCTAACAGTGATTAAAATGCAAATCTCAAAAGCTTGTTTGTTTTAAAAAATTATTTTAAAATTATTTTTGCTGTTATTCATTTTCCAAAGACAATTATTCAAAACGACATCTTTTGAAGAACAAATAATATTTAGTAATCAAAAAGAAGTATATGAATGTTTTATATTTCAATCCTTAACGTCATTGAGTTCTATTCATTAAAAGAGTTTTTGTTACTTTCTGTCGACTGCGAATTCTTTCACGTCTAAGAATCTCAGGGTATGTGCAAAGCTGAACCATTCCAAGACGTTTATCAATATTGCTGTAGCAGGGAATTATATAGTAACTCTCATGATGGGAATTATCTCCCTTGACTGAAGAACTCTTACAACCTTCTCTGCAGATGAAACGACCATGTCTTTCTTTGGCCTAGGAGAAGAGCGGTGTGCTCACTGCATGAATTGTCTCTTTGTCTCTGCTTCAAAGTGATGAATCCAACAACTCATTCGTGGTTAAGAAACATTCGAGAAAATGAACTAGATCTGCCTCAAACGATGTCAGATTTCACCGTCATGTGATCAGCCTGGTGTGTTTTTCATTACGTGTCAGAAGACGTAGCACCCATCGAGTAGAAATTTCGTCGTGCAAAGTTCGCTGTACGGAATATTCTCAACTCTCACAGGATATGCATTTGCTATTTTATTTGTATTTAATCATATACAATCTAAGAATATTTTCTGGCTTTAAACAACCCACAAAGGGTTGATAAGTCGTAAAAAACGAATCTATAATCTGGTGAACATGATTAATGTTTTTCTCTCCTAAATTCAGGTACATCATCTAATGTAACAACTGTGTCAGCATGAATGTCCTTCGGTGCTAAACTCTTTTTCTGCAGTTATTTGATAACACCACGATGTCATATTTTGTCCATTTTCAAGAGAATTCGTAACGAGTTACGTTTGAAGTTTTCTTTGAAGAGTCAGATGTCAGTTTATCTGTAAAGAAGAAATGCAGTTATTAGAAAGAACGGTTGAAAATAATGCATACAAGATTGCATAACTCTAGCATCACTTTTGCATAGACGCCTATGTACTTTTCAGTTCACCCTCTTCGGTAAAGCGAATCGAGTTCTTTCAGTCACTGTATGTTTATCTAAAAAGAAATACGCTTAAATTCACCTTCATGCCTGTCGTGCGCCAACGGCGTAAAGGTAGAATTTCCGACTAACGCCAATTGAACCGGGTTTCGATCCTAGCTAGTGATACAGCAGAACAGCCTGTCTGTGGATGACAATATATATGATCCTGGAAAAATTATTCCGGTTGAGCTCTCTGAGGAGGAAGTGTGAGTTTGTAAACAGTGACTATTACAGCTAATAATGCAAGACTCTCCGGTAAAGCGAATTGAGTTCTCTCAGTCACTGTGTGTTTATCTAAATTAAATACGGCTAAATTCACCTTCATTCTTGCTGTGCGCCAACAGCTTAAGGGTAGAATCTACCAATTCAGAAGCTAGGATCGAAACAAGGACGTCTAGCCACATTGAGCAGTTGTGATACAGCGAAACACCCTGTCTGTGGATATATATATATATATATATATATATATATATATATATATATATATATATATATATATATATATATATATATATAAAATAGACACTGAGATCAACATTGAGCGGCGGCAGTTTGTTTTTCGGGCCTGAAGATTGTGATAAACATCAATGTACACTATTATATTTACATATGTACCATCTCTAATATTGAGCACTTTACTCATAAATATAACATCCCTTAAAACAATATATATGAAAGCATTCCTTCTACCTACTTAAAATCTGTTCGGAGATATATATATATATATATATATATATATATATATATATATATATACATGCATACATATATATGTCTGTATGTATCTGTTCGGAGATATATATATACGTACATATATATGTGTGTATGTATGTACGTATATATATTCAAACAAAGTAAATAAGTTTGGATAAGTCGAAATTTCCAACAATTTCTCGAAGGTTGAAATTACCAACCAAACCTAGACACTAACTTTAGTTAGTAGTAAATAAAAAAAAAGATCAATTAGTAATGTCATCTGCAATTTGAAACCGAATAAATAAATGACTAACAAAATGTCAAAAAAAAAGCTTTCGGATATTTTTCAATAGTCAAAATGTTAAGTCACTTTCAAAACTGTTATGTTTAGCCTGCAAGAGAAATTAATTAAGAACAATGTCTTTGTTTATCTTTTTCCGAAAAAAGAAGAAAGAAATATGAAAAAGAATAAAACGAGAGTGTGTGAATAAAGCCACACTTTCTCAGTGCATGTCATTGTTTTCAGTTATAAGCAGAACATGCAGGGCAATCCTAACAAGTAAAAAGGAAAAAAAAAAAAAAAAGAAAAGAAAAGAAAACGAAACGAAACGAAGAAGAAAAGAAATGGAATGAGTTTTGTTTTTCTAACAACCCAACTGACAATAGGCGCTGTAGAAATATGTGTTGATGCTGAGGTTGTGTACGTTTGCTATATATTCTTTAATATATAGATTCTTTGCATATATTCTTTCACTAGATGATAACAACGAATAATCATAGTTAAATTCGACATCTTCTATTTGCCATGTCTCTTAAGGACGTTGGCGATCGTTGCTCTCCACAATTTCCTTCGTAGCTCTTAATAAATTTGGTATTTTGTTATGTTATGTTTAAACCCCAAACCTGCCATCCATTTACTTGCTAGGTAGGTTATGTATTGTTTTTCTTTGTCCCTCTTACTTTCACAATTTACGGACAAATCACGTCGAAACACCGGCTCCCGTTCGACCATATAAATTAAGCAACCTCAAGCTTGGTCAGTACGTAGATGGGTGACCGCTTGGGAATACCAGGCCCTGTAAATTTGGATGTGCGGTTGGTGTAATGGATAATGGCCCGGGTGAGATAATTGAAGATCCAGGTTCCAGTTTCAGTTGGGTTCGTTATATTCACTTACGCGCAATTACCCTTGGGAAAGGTATAGATCCACGTCTTCTCATCCACAGCTATGGCTTAATTAGTAAAACTTGTATCTCTAAATCATTATTATTTCCGGAAGATAGACTAAAAATGAATACAAATACAATTTCAATTTCGGCACGAAATAAGCCCTTGATGTTGATATGCTACTGAACAAAATCAAGTAACAATAATGTGATAATTAAAAGAATCCTGTCGGATATTTAAAAAAAAACAAACCCAAAATACTTATAATATAATATATAATAAGTATAATAATATACTTATAATTTAATACTTATAATAGAAAGGTAGAGTAATTGATATTAACTCGGATTGAGGAATCAGAGAACTGAGTTCGGATTCCAGTTGAATTCTTGATATTCACTTACGGTGAAAGGTATGGATCCATTCTTCCCCTGGCTATGGCTAAATAGAAGGACATTCCTATAGCATTAGGTGGCAACTGGTTTCGGAAATTAAGTGTCTTCATGATTTGGATGTATATCATATTCGATAATTAGGCACATATCACTGAAGTTAAGCAACGTCGTGTCTGTTCCATTCCTAGATGGGTAACCGATTGGGAATATTAGGTGTTTGACTGCCAGATTCGCGGGTGGTGAAATGGATAATGGCTCGGAATTACCTAATTTCCTTCGTGACTCTTAATAAATTTGGTATTTTGTTATTTTATGTTTTGACCGAAACCTTGCTCCTCCATTCATTTACTCAACCTTGCTAGGTAGGTTATGTATTGTTTTTCTTTGTCCCTCTTACTTTCACAATTTAGGGACAAATCACGTTGAAACACCGGTTCCCGTTCGATCACCTAAGTTAAGCAACCTCAAGTTTGGTCAGTGACAGGTGTACATGCAGGAGAAGATTCAAAATTGAATTATATATGTCAGAAATTTTAGAAAATCTGACCTCTTCATTACCTTTACTTGCAAGCCAATATGGCATGAAATAACTAACAATTTGATAGAAGGTCAATCTGCTACTGACCGTCATGATATTGTATCTCGAGTATTTAAGCTTAAATTTGACAAACTGTTGAATCTCCTTACGAAAAGAGAAATTATTGGAGCAGTCAGGGCTCATATGTTCACAACTGAGCGGCAGAAAAGAAAACTGACTCATTGTCATCTATTGGTTTGGTTCAAGAAGAAAATCAATCCAAATCAAATTGATGCTATCATCAGTGCTGAGCTGCCAAATCCCATTGAAGTTCCAATTCTTTTTGAAATAATAAAAAAAAACATGATTCATTGTCCATATGGTTCTCTTAATCCTGAATATCCTTGCATGATTGACAAAAAGTGCAGCAAAGACTTTCTAAAGCAGTTTACCAAAGAGACCTAGTTTGAGCTTGATGTCTATCCAAAATACAAAAGGAGAAAACCAGAAGATGGAGGTCACATTTTCTCTCTGAATAAAAGAGGACAAGAAATAGTCATTGGCAAACGGTGATTTGTTCTTTTTTGCCCACTGCTCAGCAAGTAATTTGGTGCTCACATAAATGCAGAGTACTGCAACAGCATCAATTAAATTAAATAATTATGTAAATACATTAACAAGGGAAGTGACCAAGCAGAATTTGGTCTAGAAAATCAATATGACGTCTAAAAGTTTCTGATGGGTCGATATATGTCTTTCAATGAGTCAGTCTGGAGGATCCTTAATTTTCCAGTTGATGACAGAAGTCCTTTAGTTAAGCACCTAACGTTTCACTTGGAAAATGGACAAAGAGTTTACTTCGCAGAAGAAAATTCAAGAGAACTAGTCGTCCTGGGTAAGACGTTAAACTACATACGCGTCCTGGGTAAGACGATAAACTACATCCAGCAGCAAGAGGCCTCTGATCAGGAGGTTTTGAGGAGTGTAGAACAACCTCTTAATTGCTAGTGTTCCCAGGTGACTCAGGGTGGTAGCACCTGTTAAGGACCCAGGTATGGGCAAATAGTTACCAGCAATACTTTTTGGAAAAAAATTATTACCAGCAATACAATTTTGAAGGAAAAATATTACCAGAAACAGATTTTTGACAAAACAAAATCTTGCTAGCAATGAAAATGTTGTCGGCATTAAATAACCCATTGAGGTTGATATGTCGTAAAACAAACCAAACCAAATAAACCAAACCAAGAGAACTAGCTGAAACTCCTAAGAACACAACATTAATGGCATTTTTGGATCTGTGTCAAAATGATGACTTTGCAAGAACAACCTTGCACCCTGAATTTACAAACACTACACCTACAAAGTTGAAAATTTTCAGAGGAGAAAGCAAGGAGAACTTCATCCAAGTGAACCTGGAGTCAAAAAGGGAGATGTTCTTGGAAGAATATATACAGTCTATGCAAGGTATCCCGAATGCTTCTTATTGAGACTGTTGCTTCATCACATATGGCGCCCAACATCATTTTTTAAGAGTTGAGAACAATTGATGGTGTTGTAAAAGAGACTTGCAGACGAACATGTATCGATATTGGCCCTGGGATAGGTCTCTGGAAGAAGCAATTGCAACAAAATCTCCAAAACAAGTTCTTACTGCTACCTGCGAACTCTTTGGGAAAATATGACGATAAGTGAGGATATTCTTCATAAAATGAGACTTGCTCATCCAGGATTCGAATTGAATCCTCAAATTTCAAATTTAGCTCTCTGTGAAATTGAAGACAAACTGATGAACTTGGCTCAAAAAGATCTCAACAATTTTAGTCTTCCAAATCCAGAGAGACTGGTAAATTTTGATAGAAACAGGAACAATTGTGACAAAGTATTCAAAACAATGGGTCCCTGTTGAACCAAGAGCAAGTGGATCAGAAGGTCCTTGATGACATCAAAAACAACAATGGAGGGATTTCTTCTTGGATGCACCTGGAGGTACTGGTAAAATTTTTCAAATAACCTTCTTTTATCCAAAGAATGGTAGCTCCAGCAGTAGCATAATCTAGAATTGCTGCTTCCCTCTTGCTTGAAGGGCGTACAGCACACCGTGCCTTCAAACTTCTGTTGGATTTAAGCTACAATGCAACCCCTATTTGCAACATCAAGAGAGGAACCAACTTGGCTAAGCTACTGGAGGATACAAACTTCATTGACTGGGGTGAATGCACCATGGCAAACAAGCGAAAATTTGAGGCCCTGGGCGAAACACTCCAAGATATTAAACAGAATTCACTGAGATTTTAGACGAACATTATGAGTCATTACAAGAGGAACTCCAGCTGATGAAATCAATGATTACTTGAAAAATTCTTATATCTGGAGCCATTTTCAAAGACTCGGACTGAATACAAACATGAGATTTAGAAACACAGGTGACCATTAAGCAGGAAGATTTGCTGTTGAATGGAAGAAATAAAGATATTTTACTCCCAAATGATTGCGGAGTTTTAGTGCTAAGTATCCAAGACTTGATTAACCATGTTTATCTAAATATTAAACACCATTTTATGGATTTCTCGAGATCTTCCTTTTGTGTTCATAAGACTTCAGATTCCATTGAGAGTGATCTATGCAAGGACAATCATCGAAATGATAGAATCCTGCTTTTCTCACAGCTAACTATATGCTGGTTGTTCAAGGGTCAGGAATGGAAATAAGCTATTTGTAATGACCCCGAATAGGAAAACCAAAAATCTTGTTTATCATACAGGATTGCAATAAGTACCAAATAGACAAATTATATGACTGTTTTGATGAAAACTGTTGTTGAAAAATATTGTTTAATTTTATTAAAATTTAATATGTACTCAATACATGAAGTGTCATTGTAGGTCTGAAGGTCCAATCAAATTCTCTCAGCAGGAGCTAGCTTAATTGCCGCCCGATAGGGTGGCTTTTAAGCTAGCAGTAAATATATCCCCATGTGTCACGCAGTTTTCCACCAACTCGAGGCAGTAACAGGTACAATTTTATTCTGACATAGAAAGTAATCGTAATATTCAAAACATGAAATTTCTGAATAGTTATTATCTGAAAACAAAACTTCATTCAAAATTTTTTATTTTCAAAAGAAAATCTCTGTAAAGATTTTTTATATAATTTTTAACGATTTCTATATAAGAATCGAGGTGTCATAGGAAGGCACCAGTTGACGTAACGGAGTCACAGAGCCAAGTTAGCTCAGACCGCTTGTGTTGTTTTTTTTATATTAATGCCATTATAAGATGTACAATTGTATCTCTCTATGCGCTCTGTCCAATCGCCAGATATCAATACTTGCATGACACAGGAAAGAGGCTGGGTTAGAAGAACAGTTGAAAAAAAAAAACACTCGCCTATAACTATATTACGTGTCCATGTTATGGAAGATAAAATGCTGTTACACAGAGGGCCAGCTCAAGATACGGGTTGCCATCATGCCGCCATGTCATGTGTTTGGAATCTTACTTGCGGTCGTCCATGACTCAAGACAGATTAAATTATTTGGCTATTTTGTCACAATAGAAAATGATAAAATAATAGGTGTTTGGACGCTGAGATCGTGTAGATATTTGCCGTTAGAGTCTTTGGGATTTGGTCGTGTCAGTTTGGTGCTTCCTCTTCGACCTTACCGCCATAGGTGGCCCTACAGGAGTTGTAACTAAACTACCTACACAGATCATTTGATTATAGCAATGAAGGCTTGTTCAGAACAAATCATGCTTCTCATAAAAACTAATAACAGACAAATAGTGCCAAAATATCTTCGAACAGCTCTCTTCATGTTTTATTGTTACAGAGTTTAACCTCTCTGACCTCAGACACAATAGAAACAAAACTAACAAGAAATGAACAGTAATAAAAATAAACAAGATATCCTTGGAAAGATAATGAAGGAGAACAATCTTCTCCCGTACCTTAAATAGAGATCAACAGGATCGCCAAATACTTGAATAAGGTCAAAGGG